ACACACACAGGCGACAAGCCTAGGTATCCCTGTCCGCGGCGGGGACACGGGCCGCTCTGCCCCGCGGGCCGCCAGCCGCCACCGCGGCCCGCGCCTCACCATCCGAGCGCCACCGCCCCAGCGCACAGGTGCGCTCTGTGTTGCCTACCCACCGGGCGCTCGGGGTTCGCGGGGCGGCGGGGCCGGGGCCGGGGCTGGGGGTGGGCTCACTCACGGGTCCTTCTCCTCCGCCCTAAGCGGAGCTGCGCATCCAGGGTGGACACACAAGGGCGATGGGTTAGCGGCCCCGTCGACCTACCCTTCCCTCTGCCTCGCCTCTGCCCCATTTAAGGCCGCCCTATTTTGATAACGACACGACGCAGCATATAGAAATGAAAAACGAACGCTGTGTCTGTGTGTCGGGAATAATAGAACCATAAAAAACGTGGAAAATGATAGGAGTGGAAATGGGGACCTAATGAGAAATATGGTGGCCCAAAGTGATAAAATGAGATCCCGCACAATCAGCAGGCGAAAGCGAAGGGCGACGCGGAGAGGGCGCGACCTCGTCCTATTCATAGTGTTGTTTTCGCTGTGTTTTCTTTTTTTCTTGTTGTTGAGGTCACGTCAAAAGACCCCCGCAGTCGCAGTACAAAAATACCTTGTAATTAAACAAACAAAATATTGTGTTTGTCACAGGCGTGCACGGGATGCGAGAAGCCGCCGTTCGTGTGCGACTGCGAAGGCGTGAAGGGCAAGCCGGGTGTGCAGGGCCCACACGGCGTGACCGGCATCGAGGGACCCCCCGGCGAGATCGGCCCGGATGGACCGCCAGGTTTCTCTGGAGAAAAGGGCGAGTTCGGCGAATATGGACCCCTCGGAGACAAGGGGTACCGGGTGAGTAGTGGCGCGTCTCTCAGTAATGTACACCTTACAATGCGGCTCTGTATGGACATGTACTCACTCAGACTGTTGTTTTTTTCTTTTGCAGGGTGAGATCGGAGTTCCCGGTAGCAGAGGAGCCCCTGGTTCTCCGGTGCGTTTTGTATGACTTGTAACATTTTATTCTAGTTCTCAGTGCAAAGTTGCCAAATGCTCTGTTGTTTGCCACCTTTAGGGCAACTTAGGGTCCATCGGCACCAGCGGTCCAGACGGGTTGGATGGCTGCAACGGCACGGACGGCAACCCCGGCATTCCCGGTCTCCGCGGTTATCCTGGAATCAGGGGTCTCTCGGGGCCCGAGGGACCTCCAGGACCGAGGGGAGAGCCGGGAGAAGGCGGCTCCAACTCCAAGGGCACGAAGGGCGACCGCGGAGACTCCGGCCTCGAAGGGGAAACGGTAAGATAATCGATAATCATCGCACTTTGTGCCCATCAGGTCGAACGAGAACGAGAGTTCTGTCTAACTCGCGATTTTGTATTCATTGATTTATTTCTCAGGGACTTATCGGGTTGCCAGGAATTCAAGGACCTCCTGGTTACCGCGGACCTTTCGGTGAACCGGTAAGACTCCCCCCCCCCCTCTCTCCCCACAGCGGCGCTTTATGCGAACCGCACTTTAATGGAACTATTTCTTTTCATCGCAGGGTTGGCCAGGGCCCCCTGGGCTCCCTGGGCGCAAAGGTGACGCCGGCGACGACAAACCGGGCTCCAAGGGCCCAAAGGGTGCCCCCGGAGACCGAGGAGACAAGGGGCCGCCCGCCAGAGAGCCCGCGGAGGTCAACTACCCGAAGGGTCAGCCCCCGCTGAAGGGCCCGCGCGGCTCCAGAGGAGAATACGGCGAGAAGGGTGAGCCCGGGAATAAAGGTCCGCCCGGCATGCACGGGCCCCACGGCTTCCCCGGCCGCCCCGGCGTCCAGGGCCTGAAGGGCGACCAAGGTGACGACGGACAGCGAGGCAAGCAGGGCAAGATCGGGCGAGAGGGTCCACCGGGCCCTAAGGGCCAGAAGGGCGCCCCCGGCCTTGGGGGCGCCGATGGGATCGACGGTGACAAGGGAGAGCAGGGTGACGACGGCCGGCCCGGGCCACCGGGTCTGCAGGGCGCCGAGGGTAGTCCCGGACTGTACGACCCCACCCTGGACCAGACGACGGGCGGCGCAATGGGTCCGCAGGGAGACATCGGTGGGTGTTCGCACTGATACTGATACAGGTTGTTGTCGTGGCAGGTTCCTCTATTCGCGCAACTCGTTGCAGGTCCGCCTGGTCCCCAGGGCTCGAGCGGCATCCCAGGAAGGCCAGGCGCTCCGGGATACCTCGGCCCTACCGGCGAGCCGGGCACGCCGGGCCTGCCTGGACTGCCTGGAGCGAAGGGAAGCTCGACGAAGGGCGAGCGAGGGGCAGACGGTGAGTGTTGTCGTGTCGGCTCGAGACAGGACGCATGTGATCGACCTAATAACTTCGGCCCTCTCCTACAGGCTACCGAGGCTCTCCGGGAGCAGCGGGCGCCCCGGGTATTGTCGGCATTCAAGGGCCCGACGGTGAAAAGGGCTTCCCTGGCGTCACAATCCAGGGACCTCCTGGAACTGACGGCTTGTCGGGGATCAACGGCTACAAAGGACCTCCCGGAGAGCGCGGAGAAAACGGGGTGACCGGTGAGTGCCTGGCGGTGATTGCGGACGAGTGTTTGGCGTTTGGCGTTCGGCCCGTTAACAGTTCAGATCTAAATTTGCACAGGACCCAAGGGAATGCCTGGAAGGGGCATACCAATTCAAGGGCCAGCTGGCGAGAGGGGTCCTCCTGGTGTCCAGGGTCCGCCTGGTATGCCCGGTCTCCCAGGTCTTCCTGGTTGGGACGGACTGAAGGGCCTACGGGGTGATGACTGTGGAATCTGTCAGCCAGGTAAGTTGTGTCATTTTGTCTTCGCATCTCGGAGGCTTTTTAGTGGTTCCGAAACGTTTAATATACTAACTCTGGCTGGCACCCAGGTTTGCCCGGTGCGAAGGGCGCCCCCGGCGACCCTGGCTTTGATGGCTTCCAGGGAACGCGAGGCTACCCCGGCCGCCCTGGAGAACGCGGGCTCCGTGGCCTTGCCGGTCGCCCCGGCCTACCAGGTCTGAACGGCACCGACGGCCGCCCTGGCCGCCCGGGTGAGGTCGGTCGGCCTGGCGCGCCCGGTCGCCCTGGTTACATTCACTACCCCAAGGGACAGGTCTCCGAGGGTGAACGAGGCGCGCCCGGCTTCATCGGCTTTCCTGGTCCCCCCGGCCCCGCCGGCCCCCGAGGTCCAAAGGGAGTGCAGGGTGATCTCGGCTTCAGCCCCTTCAAGGGGGAGAAGGTAGCGTGAACGTCACCTTGTCTCATCATCTCCGCAGAAAGGCTAATTTAGAATGTGAAGTTGACGGACGCCCTCGCGTGTTTCAGGGCGACTATGGTGAGCCGGGTCAGCCCGGCCTGGACGGCACAGCTGGCCTGAATGGCTGGCCCGGGCCCAAGGGAGACTCGGCCGCCACGGACGAGTACAGCCTGAGGCTGCTGAGGGGTGACCCGGGCTACGACGGACGCCCGTGAGTAAACCTAAACCTAAACCGTAGCTTTTGCCTTTGAAGTGTCGACAATGATTTTAATCGACCCCCTGCCATGTACAGCGGTGTGGTTGGTGACCGGGGTGAGAAAGGGCAGCAAGGTGACACCGGTGACACAGCGGAGTTCCTCTATAACTCCAAGGGTGAGCCTGGCTTGGACGGACCACCAGGACCGAAAGGTAAAGGGGTATATCGACAAAGCTCGATTTCGGAACAAAACCCATCACTTTTCTGTTCTCAACTCTGTCACTCGCCCTGCAGGTGAGCGTGGGCCGGACGGCCTCAACGGCCCCCCTGGAGACGCGGGCTGGGTCGGCCTCACGGGTCCGCGCGGGCTGCCGGGCTTCAGTGCCCCCGGCCCCGAGGGCCTGGCCGGCTACCCGGGGATGCCCGGCGACGAGGGTCCGCGAGGCCCCCGCGGTGAGCCGGGCCTGGACGGACGGCCTGGCCTTCCAGGGCCGGACGGCCCCAAAGGAGACCGGGGCGACATGGGGCAAGCCATCCTCAACGGAGAGTACGGCCCTCCCGGCACCCCCGGTGAAAAGGGTGACATTGGCGACGAAGGACCCCCGGGCGCGGACGGTCGTCCGGGCATCATGGGCTACCGTGGCATCAAGGGAGAGAAGGGTGACGCAGGATACAGCGGTCTGTCGGGAATGCCGGTGAGAACCATCCCCCGCCACCCGCCACCGTCTCCACACCCAACACTGTGATATGTTTCGCAAACTGTAAACCCAACAGTGTGCCGTGCACCGGGTGCTCTCTGGTGCTTCCGAGCACGTGAAACAGCGTTGCGAGTTTGCCCACTCTCTCGGCCCGCAGAGGGCGCAGAGGTGATGGTGCCTTTCGTGCGGAGGTAGTAGCCAGGCCCGCGATACAGCTGCACGCGCAAAGAAACGCCAGGTGCACTCAAGGAAGGGAGTGGCGTGCCCCCTCTTCGTGCCTGAGACGTCACTGCTGGGCCTACAGTGTAATTGTTAATTTTCAAAATTGATTAGAACATTTGGTGTTATAGTTAAAATGTAATGTCAACTGTCTCGTAGCTTTACAGTCTTGTTAAAAGAATTCTTCTGTCACACCATGCGAATAAAGTCTACAGAGTAGACCCTATACCGTGCCCACTAAAAAAAGTGCATAACTGGACTTTTGATTACAGGGCGTGAAAGGATGGCAGGGCGACATGCGGGCAGGCCTGCAGGGAGCTCCAGGGAACCCTGGAACCCCTGGCCTGCAAGGGCTGCCTGGCGAGCTCGGGCCTCAAGGTGAGGTCGTCAGTCGAGTAGATGGGGCAAGATGCACACAGCTAACGGAGGTTGTTGGCGTCTCCTCCACCTCCGTCTATTGCATGCATGCACGCCCAACTATACCGCTCTAACTGTCGCATTTTACAGGCCCGGAGGGCGAGCCTGGCTACCCGGGAGGACCGGGACTCAAGGGCAACATCGGTTATCCCGGACAACGAGGCTTGGACGGCGACATAGGCGTAGTTGGATTCCCTGGCAGGGAGGGTGTTAGAGGCCTGCCTGGACTGGCAGGACCCGATGGCGATCGTGGTCTGAGTGGCCCGGCAGGTACGGTCCACTACATCGAGTGCGGTCAAACTATCAAAATATTGCCGTTTATCTCGCGAGAAACTAATCTTCTTTTTTGTCATTGGCCCAGGACCCCCTGGCCCACCTGGTAGGACGGGTTTCACTGGACCAATGGGTCTGAAGGGAGTGATAGGCGATGCAGGGCAGCAGGGCCTCCCCGGCTTGGATGGGTTCCCTGGACTGAGTGTAAGGACCCCCGTCCCCTCCCCCCATTCTCCCCTGTTCCACCCCAGGAACACAGGAGTGGGAGTGTGTGCACATCTGAATCTAACTCTCCTTCCCCTTGCAGGGATTACCCGGCGACGCTGGTCGTCCTGGACGGGACGGCGAGCCCGGCGACGGCAGCTTCAGCGGCCCCAAGGGAGACTGGGGTGATCCTGGTCTCCTTGGTGAGCCAGGCTTCCCTGGCCTCGGTGGTCTACCCGGACCCCGCGGTGCTCCTGGAGAGGACGGCAACGTGACGGCAGCTTACCCTGGAGAACCTGGAGAACCCGGCCGAACGGGAAATCCGGGCTACGATGGCTTGAAGGTTGGAGCGCCTGCTAGATAGGCAAATCGTGTGCTGCCTCGCAGCGGAGCGTTTCTGTTGCCTACCTACTAGGCGTTATCCTCTCATTACTATTATTGTCTTACCCAAATAGGGAGAAAAGGGCAACCTCGGACCTGAAGGCCTCAAGGGTCTGGCGGGAGATCCAGGAGTCCCCGGCTGGCCAGGACCCAAAGGGCGTGACGGATTTCCGGGGCAGAATGGCAGATGGGGTCAGCGGGGCATCGCTGGCCCGGACGGAGCCAAGGGTGAGAAAGGCATGGATGGGCTTCCGGGCTTCATCGGGCGACCTGGTGTCCCCGGCGACCCAGGACCATGGGGCCCCATGGGCACTCCTGGCGCTCCCGGGCCAAAGGGCTTCCAGGGCGACCCTGGCTTCAGCCGCCTGGCTGCTGGCACCAAGGGCGACGAGGGCGACGAGGGAAGGCCCGGCTTTAGAGGGCTCACCGGCCTGCGAGGAGAGCCCGGTTTTCCTGGATACAGAGGAGTCAAGGTGAGTTCTGGCAGGTTCTGGACGCACAGATGACGAAGCTCGTCTCTTAGGTCGTGAAAGACTGATCGGCTGAAACTTAAGCTTGCTTAACCTTTCAGGGCGGGCGCGGTGATGCGGGCCGCCCTGGAGAACCCGGTATCTCTGGCAGCTTTGGCCTCCCGGGTCTTCCGGGCGACACTGGCCCAGCGGGTCTCCCTGGACTTCCTGGACAAAACCCAGAGCCAGGTGACAGGGGCCGTGACGGTTTCGATGGACAACCGGGCATGCCTGGGCGGCCGGGAGCAAAGGGTGCTCCTGGCGACTTCGGCGTCGAGGGACCGGCTGGAGCACCTGGGCGGCCGGGCTTCTCCAGGCCCGGCGACAAGGGTGACGCTGGCGACCCAGGTCTGATGGGGCTCCCCGGCAGACGCGGTCCTCGCGGTCCCTCTGGCTTTGACGGCCTCCCCGGTCGGCAGGGACCCAAGGGGCTGACGGGCCCAGCCGGCCCGCCATCGTCCAGTTTCAAAGGCGAGCGGGGTGTCGACGGATACCCCGGTCTCCCCGGCACCAACGGCACCAAGGGCATGCGCGGCGAGGACGGCTTCCCGGGCCGGCAGGGCCCTGCTGGGCCCAAGGGATTCGCCGGTTTCCGTGGTCTAGCGGGTCTGCAGGGCGCGCCCGGCCTGCCCGGCCTGCCCGGTAGGAAAGGAGAGCCTGGCGACCCCGTCAGCTACAGGGACATCATCAAGGGCGAGGTGGGCGAGCCCGGCTTGCCCGGCTTGGACGGAGAGAGGGGACCTCCGGGACTGATGGGCAAGCCGGGTGACTACGGCCCTCCGGGTACCATCGGAGACATGGGGTACGCTGGTCGTCCTGGCTACCCCGGGCCCAAAGGACTCCGAGGCATGCGAGGATCCCCTGGACAGGCTGGAGTGCCCGGTTACAGAGGAGCCCCAGGTGAGAGCGGCCATCCACGTCGTGGGTTCAATTCCAGACAGGAGACAATTCCTCTCACCACGCATACGTTCTGTTTTTCGTAGGTGTTCCGGGTTTGCCCGGAGACGCGGCTCCCCCGGGCCCCGCGCCCGGGAACAGGGGCTTCTTCTTCACCAGGCACTCTCAGACGGAGGGCGAGCCAGACTGCCCCGCCGGCACCTCCAGGATGTGGAGCGGTTACTCGCTGCTGCACTTCATGGGCGACGAGAAGGCGCACGGCCAGGACCTGGGCGCCCCCGGCTCCTGCCTACAACGGTTCTCCACCATGCCCTTCATGTTCTGCAACCTGAACAACGTCTGTGATTACGCCAGCCGCAACGACTACAGCTACTGGTTAAGCACGCCCGAGCCCATGCCCCAGATGATGACTCCTATTCCTGCTGAGGAGGTCAAGAAGTTCATCTCGAAGTAAGGAGACCCCGTCAGACCTTGACCTGTATTTTTTGTTTTTATCTTCCCCACCCTGACTCTTTTCCCGCGAGTCGTCTCCATTGCTGATTGTGTTTCCACTCTACGCTCAGGTGCTCCGTCTGTGAGGCGCCGACCCGCGTCATCGCCATCCACAGCCAGTCCATGGACGTACCCGCCTGCCCGCAAGGCTGGGGCCAGATCTGGGACGGCTACAGCTTCCTCATGGTGAGTGCTGGTGGTGCTGGCATTCTCCCTCTCGTACTTGTTGTGGGTATGATCTGATTGGTGTCCTCCCTCCCTCCCGCAGCACACGGACTCGGGCGCGGAGGGCGCGGGTCAGTCGCTGGTGTCGCCCGGCTCCTGCCTCGAGAGCTTCCGCCCCACGCCCTTCATCGAGTGCTCGGGTCGCGGCCAGTGCAACTACTTCACGTCGGCCTTCTCGTACTGGCTGGCCACCATCGAGGACTCCAACATGTTCCGCAAGCCCAAGCAGCAGACGCTCAAGGGCCGCACCGGCTCCCTGCTCTCGCGCGTGTCGCGCTGCGCCGTCTGCCTCAAGCAGAGGCACCACTCGCCCCCGTCGTCCCGCTCGGACCAGAACGGCGTCAACATCCCCGATGTCGGCGAGTACCGTCAGCGCCAGCCGACGACGTGGTACAGCGGCTGAAGGGCGCGGCGTAGAAGACGCTCGCGAGCAGAAAACACGAAACGGGCAAACTTACGCAGTGCCATGCTGTTGACATCCAAATGATGCAGTGTTATGAACATTGACTCTTTGTGTGACTTGCGACGGGCGCGAGAGAGATATAGACGACGCCAATGTGATTCCTTGTGTGTGCCATCACCGACTCGGCGGGTACTCGTCACTCACGGTCGGCCGAGACACCTCGTCTCTTCCACAGAGGGGGTGGGGACGGTGACGGGGGTGCGCATGCGCAGCCACGATGGGCCAAGTGAACTAGACTACAGGGGGGAGGGGGAGGGGGGGATTACCGCCACTGCTTGGGCGAGCCCGGTATGGGGAAGTCCCAGTAAAAAAAAAGGCCCTACATTGTACTCTAATATTGTACATAATTCCTTTAAGTTTCAAAGTTCAAAAGAGCCTGCTGACCGCTGATACCAGCAAGACAGTGACATTTAATAATGCACAAGTTTCTGAAGCTAGGGTATAAAGGAATGTCAACAAATTCTAAAATCTCTCTAATCAGGTAGAAACTTGTATTAATGTTCTAGACCACAAACCAGAATGTGTTATTATTTTATACTAGTTATGTACATTTAAAAATTTAATTTGTTGGCTGCGACAACCCTGTAAATTTTGTTTAGACTAGTCAGACTTTTGTGTATGTCTTTGTCATTGTGTTCATCCTAGGTCATGCTGTAGTAACTTAATGTTGTTAGTCTTCAATTGTACATTATGATAAGGAACAAACTTTTTTCATTACATGATGCAATAATGGTTTAGTAGTCCCCAAAGATTTTCACCAATCTAAAAGCAGGTGAGTAGATAAAATGTTCCTCTTTCCAAATTCCCTTTCTAAAACCAATTAATAATTATTGGTTACTATATTAATTAAATTTTAGTGCTGTGTTATTTAATATTTGTCACAAAGTTTTTCAATGTTTGTTATGACTATGATTACACTATGCTTTATTTATTCTGAAGCCAAAACAGGGTTTATTTTAAGCCAAATTTAGCTAATAATTGATCACTGCCGAGCTTTATTTTTTAGAGTCTATGACCAAATTGTTAATTTTAAAGGTAAAATAAATAATTAGTAATAAATGCCTCTGTGAATATGCCTACTTAACATATGCACGTGATTTGAGCTATTGCGAGTACTTACTTTCAAAATACAGTAAGACTTGAGGGAGGTACGTATGTCCATAAGAGAAAACACTTGAAATAATATATTCTGCAATAGCAGTTTTATAGAAAAACAGCCAGTAACAAAATGGATAAAGGATTTATAAAAATACATCAAACTTATTATAATTTTGACATTGTAGCTTGGAGTTTTTCAAGATACTTGTGAGTTTCTTGATAATGGGGACTGAGGTCCTTTCGAACACGTTCAAGCCAAACACCTAGTTTCGGTCTACCCTTGGTAGGGTCATGTCCACCAAAAGCTAAAACCACAGATAATTGATAATGGTCAAATGGCATAAAATTAATGGAAAGATTTAGATCAGGATGTACAGTAAATGAACTTACCAACTTGCTCAATTTCACAAGCAGCAAAAACATCTGCAGCACTAATTTGATTGCCAGTCAGATAAGGACGTCCATCAGATAGCCACAAATTTTCAACATTGTCCAAAGATGTGTTCATACGCTCAGTGAACATAGCTAACGATTTCTCACTGGGTGGCTTTCCAGTCAACATTGGTTTCAGCACCTAACAGAAAAAAAGAATTATCATTTCTAAGAACAGTATTAAGAATATGAAAAGAAAAGAAATATGGATCACTAAGGATGTCAGTTGTCTTTTATAAAATTACCCTAGTTTGAAAATACATGGCACATCCAAGTCGCAAATCAAGATGGTGCCATTCCAAAAACTCATCAACTGCTGCTTGGCTTTTAATGTCCTTTGGATACCAGTTATTTGGCACATTGTACTTGCTGGAAAGGTATCGTACTATGGCAACACTGAAAAATCAAATGTATTTTAGCCCAGCAGGTATTTATGTGATCAAAAGCTTTAGATCGATATTAAAGTATTTTATCACCTCTCTGAGAGCTTGAAGCCATCATCATCAATTGCTGGAACCCGTCCAAACCGATTTACACTTAAGTAGGGCTCCTGCTTGTGCTCACCTGCATAGAAATGGTGCAATTGGATAAAGCTGAAACAGTTTGGTCAAAATGAGACTGTGACATAAAGCTAATACCTTTACGAAGTGCAACCTGGCAGCTTTCATGAGGAATTTTGTTGACGGACAAAAATATTTTCAATGCCCGTGATGGTTGAGATAATAAGTCGAAGTAGTACTTTAACACCATCTTTCACACCTGAAAACAATTAACAATAATAAAGAATAATTCTTTGATTCAGGAAGTTGAATAAAATGGATTTGCTGGAAAACAGCGGTCAGTATACTGTATCATGACTGTAAGCTGTAACGCATGCTACAGGTGAGTTGCTAGTCATCAAAACAATTACTTAATAAGCCGATTATGCCAAAACTGTTTACTGATTTTGTGAGAAAAAGAAAATAGGTATCCTCTATGTGGAAATGCATCTCACCCAATGTAAGGCCTCACCTTGCAATCGGGACGGAAAACGAGAGAACACTGACTGAAATGTCACTTTGATTTGGGTGTCAAACACTGGACTTTGGCTACGATGTACTACACTACTTCACTGTGATGTGATTGGTCAAATGGATTTAGGAGAGCTTGCGGATTGGATGATCATCCGTGGCGTGGGGTTCCACTAGTCTCGTGCGAGGTGTCCGAAGTTCAGATCACCCATTTCCATGGAGTATAGGTATCAGTAAACTTTTCATACACCCCGAAACCGTAGCCTCCGCTGTACCTGATGACAACTCGCAAAACCGCATACAAACTGAAAAAAGCAAACCCAGCCAGACCAGCTGAGGCGAGCCGTCAGATCAAATGTCAACAAATGTCACTTAGACCGAAAGTATTTAGTTGTTGTGTTATTTGTATAAGTCCTCTACTGTTTACTGACATTCAGTATGGCGCACGACTCCCCTTTGGCTCTTAAATATTTCTACATCTTTAATTCAAACTATGGTCAGAAAGAAGGAGAGGTTAGTGTGTTTTTCAATTTCATTATGTGTATGATTCAACAAAGTATTTAGTTGTGATCTCTGCTACAGCCTGCAATAATTTTCTTCTTTGCTCTAAAATTATTTTTTTCTCTTTGTAGGAAGCTCAAAAAATCTTGTACTTCTTTCCACCTCAAACTGATTTGGACACACAAATAAAGAATGTAGGTCTAACAGAAGCTATTATAAAATTTACAGAGTAAGTGCAGTTTTGTGAAAAAGAAAGACAAAATTTTCAGTCTATGGTTTATACTCTGTTCCTACAGTCTCAATGTTTCCAATAGCTGCAATGACTGCTGCTGTCTGATACAGCATCAAAGTAGTTGCCATGGATTGTTCGCTAATTTATTTATTTTCCATCCCCAGAACTTTTAATAGTCACCAGAAGTGTGAATCATTACACACATTAAAAACAAGACAGCTTTATTTTCAACCAGAGGAAGGATTTTGGATGGTGCAAGTAAGTGATTGAGACAAAATTTTACATTTTGAAATTCCTTAATTGTTTTACTTTTCTAATTTTATTGTGACTTTCCAGGTGCTATCAGTTCCCACTGTCACAAAAACTAAGGAGGGTGTAGATCATTTAGAATATCAAAGTGACGAAATTCAGGACAATGTTTATTGGTCTGTCCTTGAGCAAGCCTACAGGAGTTTTAGCTTGTTCAATGGTACATTCAGTCAAATCTTAGATGACTATGATTTGACAAAGTTAAGATACAAGTTAGCTAGCTATTTATCTAAGGTGAATATTTAGAAATTATATTGGACTTATATTGTGTCAAATATTACTTATTAGAAAATAACAATTCATTGCAGTATCTCTCCAAGATAAAACTGCAACATGCAGATATTCTGGATGTTTTTCATGGAATCCAGTTTTTACCTTTGGATAAAAAGACATTCCTACATGTGCAAACGGTGGTGAATTTATTAGAGTGCTCTTTTCCAAAAATTCGGTGTACAGCTTTTCTTTACAATGATCAACTTGTATGGTACGCTTTTTATTTCCATTTCTCAGTCAGCTTACTACCTTCCCTGGGGAAAAAAGTAAGTGGCAAAAACCACCTGAAGAGGAAGTAAAGTGGTTTTAACAACAAGACATGACAGCGAAAAATATGGAGACTATATTACCACTCGGGTGCCTCTTAGCCTCCCCCTTGGAGCTTCACCTCCTTGCCACTTAAAATGGTCAAATCCACTTAAATGCCACCTTAGCAAGGGGGCAACCAAGTGACACTTATTGCCACTTACTTTTTTTCCCAGGCTTTGATGCTTTTAATCATGTTCAGTAGATTTAATCTGAGATATTGTGTGTGTGTGTGCATTGACCTGCTTTGTCTTTCCTAATCTTGGAATTATTTTGTATGATTTAGGAGTGGTTTAGAACCAGATGACATGCAAGTCCTGTATCGTTATCTTGTGAGTAGTTTACTCCCAGCTCAAATGGAAAGTGAACTTCAAGGAGGTCCTATACCTCGACAGTCAAACTCCTTTTCTGCTCTGCATTACGGAAGGTAAGCAAAGTTCTAGTTTTACCTTTGTCCTTGGCTAAACTTGTGATGTATATCCTACCAGTAATTTGTATATTCTTTTGGAGCAGATTTGCCTCTGGACCAACTAATTTGCAAAATGCAGATATTGGGAAAATACCTAAAGTACATTTGAAGAGTAGCTCTGGCTCAGTTGTTTGTCATCTGGTAATTTACCGAGCTCTAAGTGCAACTGTTTGTATGCTCATTGATGGTAAGATATTACCTCAAATTGTACCTAAAATATATTCTATTTACCGAGCCTCACTTAAGTGCAACTGGTTACATTACAGAGGCAGTTTCACTAGAAATTGACTTTTTCCAAAGGCTGGATGTATTTTTGGGACAGAGACTAACTAAACTAGCTTCAGAAATAGCTGAGCAATGCAGTCATGGCAGTGCAAACAGTGTGTCAGCAGAGTCAGGGGCCAAGTAAGTTGTTAAGCTTAGGTAATTGTTATTTGTCTTGTCTGCTGTCAGTATTCATTTTATTTCTGTGAACATATATAAATCTCCAAGTTATTCTTCAAGGTTTGTTTACTATAACCATTTGAATCGTGCTCAGAAGAGTACTGTGCATCTGGACAACCGTAAAAATGGCAACATATCTGTACCTTCAGATGTCTTAAGAATTTTGGCTGACTTGAATTCTGATTTCAGGGACAGGTAAGGAGAAATTTTACTGATGCACCTATACATCTAAGAATGCCTTTTCTAAAATTTCAGTTTATTTTCCTTTTAAGAAAACCATCAACAGGAGAGACTATAGTTAAAACGATGAATGATTATTGGGTTGTTGGAAAACTATCAAACCTTCGAGAGTTCTATGTTGTCATTCATCAGAAGAATGCCAATCTAATAGAGATAAATGGTAAGAAATCGGTCTTGGCTGTAGTCCTTTTAGAAGGTATGCTTGCCTCTCCAGGTTATTGAAAGTCTAATTGTTTTTTATATTTTTGCAGAAGAAGTGAAGAAACTCTGTGATAGCCAGTTTAAAAGCATATTTTTCAGTGAATAGACTTAATTCTGAAATTTGTGTTGTGCAGTTGTAACATAAGTTTTATGTTGGTGTGTACTAGCAGAAATATACCCTTTCCACTCAAAGAAACAGAAGGTATGTTGAATTTTAATAAATGTTTGGAAGGTATGTTCACTTCCTTGACAAAAATCCAAACTTAGTATCCTTTCCATCTATTCTAATATTTAATTACTTTCAAAATTGAACACACTTGGCAATGACAAACTACTGCTCCTTGACTTAAAATTTTTATTTATGACAATTATAAAAGACAAACTCAATGCAAGTTTTTTTGCTGATCATGTGTAGATCATACATAAACAAATTGGACAGGATACACGCAGCCTGTTATGGAAATTCTTGATACAATGTGGTAATTTCAGGGTAATGAAAAGAACAGTATGCCATTGAAAATTAAATTCATCACTTTGTTCAAAACTTGCTAGGTTTTGGTAGCACATTTCTCTCCATTGTTCAGGGATATTAAGCACCCTGATACATAAGCACTACTTATGTACATATTTAACAATAAAATGCTAACAGGAAATCGTAACTTATTCATATACATCATCTTTATCAGCAATGTAACGAATTATATCTGCAGGCCTTGCCAATTTCTCTGCATCACCATCAGGTATTTCAAATCCTGAAAATTCCAAGACATTAGCATAAAGTTACAAACTTCACCACGGAAATTTCAAAGTGAACTCACCAAATTCATCCTCGATAGCCATGATAATTTCCACATGGTCCAAAGAGTCCAAACCCAAGTCATTGATGAAATGAGAGTCCACAGTTATCTGGAAGAGGCAAACAAGATCTTGAAATGGATAAATCAAAGTTAGGTTGAGGCACTGAGATGTAAATCGGGCTGGGTATACCTTTTCAGGGTTAACCTTGTCAAAAAGCTTTAAAACAAGAAGTACTCTATCCCGAATGAGTTCTAATGTTAAAGGTGCACCTCCAGAGTAGAACCTTTTCAGGTCAGCAGTCTGTGAAAAATAAAAACTAAGTATTAATATTTGAAACAGTAACAACCACGTCAAACCCTTATAGCACACTCGGAAAATTGTTTAGCATAGCTAAAAAGAGATAGGAAAGATCTTCAATATGATGTGTCAAGTTCTGCAAAACTTTAACTGTGGTGACAATTAATAGCAGTACAGATCGAGGTTCTTAAACGGTGCCACTCTAAAATATGAAGCATGTACCCCATGGTGTAATTGAAAGCAAACTTAACCCTTACAAGTCATACACTTGAAGACAATTGATTTCTTTACTGCGGTTGTCTGTGAAAACTGTCAAATGTGAGCGTTTGAGAAGTGATAAAAGAGTGGCAAATTCCATGCTTGAGAACCAAAATTACCGTAAATGATAGATAAAACTGGCATGGGAGAGACATGAGAGCTGAGAACAAACCTGTTTCGACACCAACAACGAAGAACTTTGGTATCCATTCCATTGCTTAGAGTGGATGAATTTCTGAGGAGCATTACTAGCAGCCACTTTAGGTGCGACTGTTAGAAAAGCTCGGGCACCGAGTGCCAAAGTTCTCTTAACACCGAGAACCAGCGCGGCCATTTTACTGCAGAGGACAAAACTGAACTAGAACTATCGACTGGACTCGACTTCCGAAGCACCCGGTTGCTGTTGCTGCCCTCTAGAAAAGACGATTTGTGAGAAGTCAGTAAGAGGGTGCCACAACTCCGACACTTAAGGCGGGAGGGAATTCCGGCTAATTGGCCGGTAAAATACTCATCGCATCACAAGACCCATAAGAATCAAAATTTTAAAAATCTTCCATTTCAAGAATCGGTGTTCTGGCGCTTGCCGAAGTTCTCTTATAGAGGGTACTACTAGAAGTTTGTATGATGACAAATCACACTCGGGTGTTGGTACAGGATCAGCGTGGTGCCGATGCCGAACGATTTGTACGATGATAAACCTAACCTGTGTAATCCAGCTATTTTTATGTGTCAAATTTGACACGTCAAAACTGGCCTTGTGTTGCAACGTACAACAAATGTACCTTTAACTTTTTTTTTATACATACAAATGGTTCTTGTTAATCATAGAGTCATGGTGCTATTATGTTTTCTAATTTGACAAACGCGTCATGATCTTGGAACACAACAAAGAAGTAAGTGAGGATGAGGATAAATTTCCTCTTTTGGGGAAAATGCACAGTAGAGCATATTTTTATGCAACCAATTCATATATTGGTGGTGAAGTGGCACCTTGTTTAATACTGCCATAATCACACTTCACTGTGCTTGGGCAATATGCCAGTTGAAGTCCAGCTTTTTTGTGAAAGCTGTCTAATTTAAACTATTTAGGAATAACAAAATAGTAGAGGAACTTTAATCAGGTACCGTATTTTGTAGAGGTCAAAGCATTACTATTATTTAATAATGATGTTGTTATGCGTTGAGACAAATTTTCTGAATTACTGCTGTAGCCTATGTAATCAGTATTATAGTCATTAAACGTTGTAGATTTTGGGTGAAGTCTTATCCTTTCTATTTATTTATTTCTTTAAATTTCTCTCATCGGCTTTGATGCTTATAAATAGCTTATTTGTAAAATATTCATGGAAATTTTTCCTAGAATACCTTATGGCAGAGGTGTTTGCTTCTCAGTTTGTGCTTTTTATTTAGCTTATTGTAAATTATTTATACATAATAAATTGATATGCCATACTGCATGTTTATTGCTTATTAATGAAACACTTGTACAAACTTTTGCTAATTTTTACTTGTGGTTTGTGACTAATTTTCCTATGCCTTGATTTCTTTCAGTTGTAAGGGGTGTGGGTTATCATGGCGGTAAGTTGCCTTCTAAAGAAGCGTTTTCCTGTGGGCACAAATACAATTTCTTCCACTCATTTGCTCTCTAATGCCTGACAAAAATTCACATTTTTCAAGCAATATTCAGCAGTGAGAGTCAGGATATCTCAACTCATCTGCTGAACTAAAAATAGTATCTTGGCATATTGCCTTGCAAATGGCCATTCTTACTTACAGCATCCTACAAGTGTTTCAGGCTTGACCCTTGTTGCTGCATGTTTAACTAGTAGTTTCTTTCTAATTGTAATCATTCTGTTGTTTTTTGGTGGCACTACATAATTTATTACTTAAACATGAAAGAAATTCACCTTTATAGTGAATTTTTATTTTTGTCCATTGCATCTCTCTAAAATTAAATGACGTTCAATTTATCATACTTATTGGAGGGTTACTTCTAATGCTATTTTCAATTTAAAGGAATTTTATCTGAAGAATGGCTGGAAGATCCACCGGTAGCAGGAAGAGTAGTCGACAAAGAAGGAAGCAGCGGTTAAGAATGTCAAGTAAAGGTGATGGAGAGGGTGGTGGGGAAGAGGAGGAGGAGGAGGAAGGAATGTTTCTCAGGAACCAATCTACACCTGACGACTGTTTGGAGTTAATAGATAGATCAGAGGTACTTGTTCTAATCTCAAGATTTTTGTGTAGCTGGAGTATGTTATCCTAAGTGTTTTGTCAACTGTTTCCATTATATACATATTTGTTTGCAGCATGGTGCGGGGAAAAGTAGAAAGAAAAACAAACATACTCAACAGTTATCAGTACACTTTGAGGATTCAGCTTCCGAAAATGTTTGGATTACTACTATACAGGTATTTGTGCCCTTTCTTGTTGCTGGATTGGGCATGGTCGGAGCTGGATTGGTATTGGATGTTGTGCAGGTAAAATAAGAGTTTTACATTTAAAAAATACTTTCTGTTTTGTTCTTTTCTTTATTTTCAATTGCAGATTTTGTTTACATGATTTACATGAATTTATTGAATTTATTTTGAAACATTTATGCTTCTTCACAGCACTGGGAAGTGTACCAAGTTGTGTCTGAAGTTTTCATCTTAGTACCTGCACTCTTGGGCCTCAAGGGTAATCTTGAAATGACATTAGCATCACGTTTATCTACACAAGCTAATTTAGGAATAATGGATAGTCGGCGAGAGCAGTGGAAACTCATTGCTGGAAACATGGCTCTAATCCAGGTAAGGCTGGTACTTATTTTGGGGAAAAAAGGTCAAAGTGTTGAAATATTTAACTTTGTTCTACATTGATTGGTGCAGTGTCAAGCAATGGTTGTCGGATCTCTTGCTGCTTTTGCTGCCGTGGTCATGGGTTGGATACCTAATGGTGACTTTAATTTTGATCATGCACTGTTACTTTGTGCCAGCTCAATGTTGACTGCATCACTTGCTAGTTTTGTCTTAGGTGAGTCAGTAAGAACACCTTTTTTACTATCTAAACAATAAAAATTGTAATATTTTGATTTTGTTTTTATATTTTGGTAATGAACCGGTGCGCTTTTTTTTTACAGGCGGAATAATGGTCGCTGTAATTATGTTCTCCCGCTGGGTGAATATAAATCCTGATAATGTTGCCACTCCCATTGCTGCAAGTTTGGGTGATTTAACGACTCTAGCTTTATTGTCTTGGATTGCATCAATGTTGTTTGAAGCAATTGGTAATAATTTTTAAAACATTTTTAATTTATTTTTTCTCCTTCACAACTGCATAAATATGTATTCAGGCTCTTCTTAAAATTAATGCTAGTCTTATTCTTTGGCAGGACAAAACCACTGGCTGGCTCCTGTAATAATTGCAGTGTGTCTAATTCTGACTCCAATTTGGGGTTTCATTGCTTTCTCCAATCACTACACCAAAGAAGTGTTGGACAGTGGATGGACCCCCGTAATTTCTTCCATGGTTATCAGCAGGTTTGTCAGTTTTACCATTGCTCAATTTAAATGTTGAAAAGACAACTCCTCATTCTCTGTTCATTTTCAGTGCGGGAGGATTAATTTTGGATTATACTGTAAGCACTTTCAAGGGTATTGCTGTATTTCAACCTGTGATAAATGGTGTTGGTGGGAACCTAGTTGCAGTGCAAGCCTCCCGTATTTCAACTTCCTTGCATCAGAAAGGCCATCCCGGTTACTTCCCTTTAGGTGCACCTCCTCTTTGTCTTGGTCCGTTTGCTGCATTTTGTGCCTCTGGTTAGTATTTAATTGAAATAAAAATCTGACACTATTGCTGTCTGTTATCATATCTATAAGTCTGTGTATCATTCTTTTACAGATAATCACTCCAGAACTGCCAGGGTTCTACTTGGAATGGTCATACCAGGACATTTGATTTTCTCCTATACTATTAGTTATCTACATGCAGGACATACATCTCTCACAGCTGTTTTCATGCTTATTTACCTAACAGCTGCTGTTCTCCAGGTCAATAATTATTTTTCTTCTTTTATACATGTGTCTTTATGTAAATGCATTCCTTGCTTATTACTAGCATCTTGTTTTTAACAGGTTTTGCTTCTTCTATATATTGCCCATGTGATGACACACTGGATGTGGAAACAAGGAATAGATCCAGATAACTCTGCCATACCTTATTTAACTGCCATTGGTGATCTGCTGGGAACGGGCCTGCTAGCTGTAGCCTTCCAGCTACTTTATATTATTGGGGATGGGGACAGTGATGTGGGTGAATGAGTGAGCACACTTGACTGATTAGATGTCTGTAACGAGGTTTGGTCTGTTCTTTTCTTCGAGGTGTGCTTACCTGGAGCGTAGCCAGGATTGTTTTTTCTGTGTGTGTGTGTGAGTGTGAGGAGGGGTGGGGATATTGTTTTGCACACTTGCCTGCTAATGTTGTTTCCAAATTAGCAACCAAGGGTGTGTCAGGGGTCGTGGCCCCCTTCCAGTGTATGTGCGTGCCTGTGCATTACTGAAACCTATATTTGTGCCCCTTGCTAACAAATTTTACACGATGCCAAAATTTATCTTAATTAATTAAGCTGTTCTCTGGCATATTTTGTGAAGGCCTGGGTACTTCATTTTTAACACTTTCAGTGTGTTAGAGGGGCACACCACACTTAAAGTGTTAAGTACCTTTTATAGACTTGGTGATTTTCTAGAGAATTTGTTAATTGTGATGTTAAAAGTATTTTACTGAAACTATTGCTTTTCTGTATGTTACCTTCCAAACATTAAGACTAGTAGAGTTGTTTGTTCCTCTACCATACTTTTAAAAATATGTTCAAGAGAAAAAGACACCACATTGTTCCTTGTTTTACTTGTTCAAGTTTTAATAAAAAGAAAGAGATTAAGAACTGTTTTGTAAAATATAACTTTATTTCTGTAGCAAGAGACGGAGGTGAATACAAAAGCGAAATCTCCTTGGCCCAATTAGGGCCCTGGCCCAAGGTGCCTTACTCAAATCGTACTGTGCGAAGATGGCGCAATACGTTGTCCTTTGAGCACACCCACATACCTTCACTTTCGTTCGGCCCATTCGGTTAGCAGCGCGGTCGGGAAGTTCATCACTGCAGTCAGTGGCTCCAACACAAACGTCTTAACCAACAGAAAAAATACACGTCCCTTGCAAACTTTTCTGGATAACATTAAAAATTTTCATCTGTTTAATGTATATATTTTTACAATTTTGTTTTTAAATCGTCCAGAAGATGAACCAAAGCGTTTATGTTTGCAAATTACAACAAAGAAAGTTGGTACACTTGCAACAAATATGACATCCGGAACGAAAGCCCCTCCAGGTTATGGGGGGTATGTCTGCTGGGCGGCTGAAACATTGAATGAATGAATACAGTAAACAGTCATTGAAAAAAATCTTGTCTTGTGTGAGAACTTCCACTGAATGACAAACAGTGCTATCATGGCAATTTTGATTCTTTTGTGAACTTTGAGACCGTGTGACTGCCGGTGTTTCCTGTGTGGATAAAATGAAATAACTTTACTCTGTTTTGTGTTAAATTGTAAGAAAAAAATTACTTTTACATTACCTGGTGTGATTTTAGCGTTGCAATTATATCCTGAAATTTTTGTCACGTTTCTGCCCTTTTCAATATCACTCTTTAGGTCGACCTAAGCTTAGCTCCTCCTTGGTTGATATTTAACCAAACTAACCTAAATAATTGTTTCTCCCCAATGATCACTGACATTTGAATGGTTTATTTGTTGATTGTCAGTTTCTTTTAAAGAGATTTCTTTTTGGGCAGAATCTGAACTAATTGAAGCATTTTTTTTTATTTTTTTTTGGTGTCTGTGTGGGCACCCTATTTTTATTTTGAGTTATCTTATTACTCTATACTGCGATTAAAAGAAAACTATGCACTGATTTGGTTTCACTTTGCAGCAATAATGGTTATGCGGAAGAGTGTTCGCATTCTGTTAGTGGGTGATCGGAGCGTGGGGAAGACATCATTAATATTATCACTTGTAAGTGAAGAATTCAATGAGGATGTTCCCCCTAAAGCAGAAGAGATTACTATCCCTGCTGATGTTACACCAGAACAAGTTCCAACTCACATTGTTGATTTCTCAGGTAAATTTTAACCCTTCTTTAACTGGTCTGGCTTTCGTGTATTTTTTTGTCCTAATGCAAGTTTTCTCTATCAGCTGTGGAACAGACCGAGGAACAGCTTGTTGATGAAATTCAGCGTGCCCATGTTGTGTGCGTTGTTTACAGTGTTGATGATGAAGACAGCTTAGATCATGTTACAAGTCACTGGTTACCTTTAGTACGATCAAGTATCCAGGGCACCCCTTTGCCAGTTATTTTGGTTGGGAACAAGGTGGATCTAGTAGATTATTCTACTATAGATGTGAGTCTCCAATTAGTGACTCCAATTTTTTTCCCTTGTAAGGATGTGGACTGTATCTATTTTATTTCTTCATGTTTTTCTAGATGGTAATGAATATTATGGAAGAGTACCCAGAGATTGAGAGCTGTGTTGAGGTAAACCTATTTCAAGTTAATTTTTTAATGTCAACTTTTGACTTTTTATTAACAAATTTGTAACATTATGCAGTGCTCCGCCCGCACTTTGAAAAACATCTCAGAAATGTTTTACTATGCTCAAAAGGCTGTTCTCCACCCGACTGGTCCACTCTATGTGTTGGAAAGCCAGGATGT